CCAACAGCTGAAGCAGCAGCAATTCCAGAAGTGCTGATGGATGTGGATGGAGCAAGTAAGTCAATGGTTGACATGTTTTTTTTTATTTGTTGATTTTTGTGTGTTGATGGATGACTGATGGCAATATTGAAAAGTTTTTACATGACAGGAGATGGAAAAAGTACATTGTTGGAGGATGAACATCTTTTGCTTGAAGTGAAAGTTTGAGAATGATAAGGATTTGTGTTATCCTAAAGTGATTATTTTTTGGAATCGAATGGTGTGAAATTTCATATGGAGGAAGAACCCATTCAATTTAAACAAATAATAATTATTAATTTTGTTTTAAGTTTAAACTACTATTTTTGAATGCATCTTCAATTCTCTTCAATTCTTTGCTATGCTTCAATGGTTTGCTTCTTTCATTTCTTTCAAATTTTAAACAAACATAATAAAAGTAGATTATTTCTGAATTTTGTTGAATTCTGATTGAATATGAGGAATGGACTTGTTTCCGATTGTAAATTACAAAATAAAGTGAAAATATTCTGAGTTGCTTAATAAGCGATCTCAATTCCGAGTTGTTAACAATTTTCCATGCTCAAAAAATTATTCGAAATGTCTGGAAATAACAAGAAAGGAACTCCACAAAGAAAACAACACACTGTATCATCCCCATCTCATCCTAAACAAAGAGTAGACCCACTACTCCCTCCCAAAAACTGTTGCGCTCATTAATCTTTGGTAAGGGATTAATTTCTTAGTGAGGTTTTTATCAATATTTCGGAAACATTGTAAAATTTTCTTTATTTCACTAACATTTCTTTCTCATATTCGCATTTATCGTTGGTCTGACGTTTTTTTCTTATCCTTAGGATAATGATATTATCTCGGGACCTGCTCAATAAAGATTTATATTCTTCAAAGCAGGTTCCAGGCTGTTTCACTATTAAGGTGAACAGTCTCTGAGCTTTAATACCCATTAGTATAATTACTTGTTCTCTTGTTTTTATTAATTTGCAATGTAACATAAGCTTTATGGTGCTTTTTAATGGTTCCTGGTAATTCAGAATAGTCCAAAGGATTTTATTTTCAATTATAATAGTCAAGTGAGAACAAGAGGAGCACTATTCTCGATAATACGGGTACAATTAACAGGATGCAAATATCAAATGAAGCATATGTTTCCCTTCCTGCTTCTAAGAGTGAATCAAATGAATGGACAT